GGACCATGCCGGGTCGGGTCAAGTATATACCAATTATAGTTATGGACTTAGACACTAATCCAACACCATATACATCGCGAGTATATAGCTTGTGGGCTTACGAGATTTTTGGGCTTGAGTTTTGTTGGGCCGTGAGACGTGTTTAGATTTGGGCCTCATACCTACCTATAATAACAAGACATTTATGGGCTTTAGGCCATTTTAGGAGCTCTTGGGCCATATTGGGCCTTTACTGCCTTATGATTGGGCTTGGAATGCCTTTTTGGGCTAGTTTGGATTTGGGCCTTGGTGGGGAGGCCCAATGAGGCAAGGGTGAAGAAACCCTTTTTGCTTTAAGCCAAGAATTAGGGTTTGGACTCTGGGGCTAGAATATTAACCTAATTTCTAATTAGGGTTTTATACTTGTGAATTAGGGAGGGGATTTCGTGAGTCATTCGCTCAAGTGTGATTTGATACCCTCAGTCTGAGGTGAGTTTCCTTCACTGTATTTGTGGGTTGAAGGCACCAATGTCGGCTCACTCGTTTATGATGTAGTATAATGATTGTCTTTATGGCTATTATCATTTATGCCTATATTAGCTTGATGAATCTATGATTCTTTTGCTATGATATTATGTGGTAAGAGTAGGGGTGAAATAGACCCGGTATCCAGTTGAAATAGACCGAAGGGGATTGCAAGCACCCATATATGCTTGACTGTATCTAGTTGAAATAGATCGAATGGGATTGCAAGCACCCAAATATTCTTGACTGTATCCGGTTGAAATAGACCGCAGGGGATTGCAAGCACCCAGATATGCTTGATTGTATCCGGTTGAAATAGACCGAAGGGGATTGCAAGCACCTAGATATGCTTGACTGTATCCGGTTAAAATAGACTAAAGGGGACTACGAGCACTCATATATGATTGACTGTATGTTTGTATGATATGGGGTATTATGGGGGAACTCACTAAGCTTTGTGCTTACGGTTTTCAGTTTATGTTTCAGGTACTTACAGCTCGAAGGAGAAGGGCCTGGCTTGATCGCACTACATCCACCTATGCTTTTCCGCATTATGTGATTCTAGGAATTTGTATTGTGATAAAATGTTGTTATGATACACTTTTGACTGTTTGATTTGATTATCGTAGGTTTTTGAATTAAATTCAAAAACATATCTTTGAGATGTTACATAGACAACAAACTGACTACTCCATTTTAACAATGATGGCTTTTAAAATTACATGGTCTTAGTTATGGAACTAATTACAAGAAGGGAGTAGATAGTTTAGTTGCTGATGTATTATCTAGAGTTTCACATGGAGAATTGTTTCAACTTGTTGTTTCTACTGCTAATTCCCAATTGTTGGAAGAAATTAAATTGAGTTGGGAGAAAGATGCAACCTTTAACCAAATGATAGTTGATCTGAAACGTGATCCAACTTCCCATCCAAAGTATTCCTGGACCAACAATGAATTATGAAGAAAGAACAAATTAGTTATTCTCAATGACTTTGATCTCAAATTAGAAATTTTCAAGCGGATGCATGATTCTTCCCAAGGAGGCAATTCATGGTTGACTATGACAATAAAAAGAATCTTGACTCACTAGGGCTACTCCAACCATTTCCCATACCAAATTCTATTTGTGAAATGATTTTGATGTTATTAAAGGGTTGCCCACCTTCGAAGGCAAAAACATGATTTTACTGGTTATTGATCGATTAAGCAAGTATGCTTACTTCCTCACTCTTAAGAATCCATTTACTACTTTTGATGTTGCCCAATTATTCCTTCATCATATTTTGAAGACCTTATAGTTTTCCGAAGTCGATAGCTTCTGACCGAGATAAGGTTTTCTTAGCACTTTTTTTGGAAGATCTTCTACGTTGCATTACATATAGATCAAATGTTTTCAACATCATATTATCCTCAATCTAAATAACGTAAATGGATTTCTTTAGCTGAATTGTTGTATATTATTAATTTCTATACAACCATTCGTTGCACTCCTTGTGAAGTTGTTTATGGGAAAACTCCCCCACTGTATCTTCCTTATCTTCCAGGAGAAAGCAAAATGGATACTATAGATCGAAGTCTTAATTCTAGAGAGCTTACCATCCATCTACTCGAAGACAAATTGTCCAAAGCCTAAAATTATATGAAATAGTTAGTAGACAAAAAAACATTCTGAAAGGACCTTTAAAGTTGGAGATTGGGTGTATTTGAAGTTCCAACCCTATCGACATACCTCACTTGAGTTTCGTACCAATCCAAAGCTTTCCACAAAGTTCTACGGTTCCTTTTCGATCATTGCAAAAGTTGGAACGGTCACATACACTCTTCAATTTCCTGCTTCCGCATCTATTCACCCTACATTCCATGTGTCCCTTCCGAAGAAACACCATGAAACCCCTTCTCCACCTTCAAATTTGCCCAACACCCATGTTCATTCTGATACAAATGTCCTTGAAGTTGTTCTAGCAGTTCATACAATCAAGAGAAAGAATAAGGCACAAGTTGAATGGCTTGTGAAGTAGTCATTAAGCAACTTGGGAATCTACAGAGTTGATTGCAAACATATATCCTTCTTTTGATCCTTGGGGTCAAGGATCCTCTTTTGGGGGAGGTATTGTTACGAGTTTGTGGGTTTTCTTTTGGCAAGTATAATTAGTATAGGGATTACCAAGTAAAATAACAGATCACCCATGTGAGTTAGTTATGTAGTGGTGATTACATGTGTGCTTCTCTATGATACGACTCCTATATACGTAGCCTCTGATGGCAATATGAACTATGATTGAATTAATATGAAAACTCTCCTCCACTTTTTCCGTTTGATTTCTCATTTAGCTAACCGATTCACATTCTCTATTTTAGTTCCAAGAGTTGGTTGGAACTCACCATTAGTTGATTATATCAGATCTGTTGAATCAGATCTTATCAGAAAAAAGTGAAAATGATTTACTATTAAATAAGAGAATGAGGAGGTATTTTCGATTTAGAGAGTAGAAACCATATAGGGACGATCTGTCGACCTCATACCTTTAAGCAAAACAACTTAATTTATCCAATATTCTGATTAAACGGATTAAAAAAATATAAAATACATTTAATTTTTTTTGTGACAAATTGTTGTCACTATAGGTATTCATTGGCCTGCGAAAATTCTCACCTAACCTATTGCAACAACAATTCTTCTCTAGTCATAGAAGGAAAAAGACAATGTATTATCAATTTGTGTGGTGCAATTAAAATAATAATAATAATAATAATAATAATAATAATAATAATGTTTTGGTTATGTCGGGACGAACAAGTTGTAGCTATATATTTTCACAAATATGAAATTCCTTCTGCATAACCTATCGAAACGACATGCCATTTCTTTAGATTAACTGGTTAAAAAAATTTGGTCAACCCTATAGAGATGACATTTCATCACTATAGGTGATCTTCAGATGACTTTCGTCGTCCCTATGGGTATTATCGCTGTAGATGTTTATTCTTGTAGTGATCTACTTTTATGTGTAATTTTAGACATTTAAACATCATATTTGTGAAACATTTATATAAAAATTAATGCGACACTTTGACCTCTAATTTAATAAATTAGTTGTAGTTTTTATAACTTCCGCAACTATTAATTATATTTGCCAAACAATATTTAATAAAGCTTGCCCAAAATAGTGATCTTTTTTTTTTCTTTTTTTTTCGAGCAAACTAATATTTTTTCGTTTGGCTTTATCTTCCTCCAAGCGCCAATAATATTGTTGTTAAAAAAATGAAGTGAAGGCTTATCTGTTTGGGTACGTGTATGAATCAATTTTTGATGAATTCATTATAATTAGAATAATATTACATTTATTTTCAAACAAACAAAACACACATATATAAAATACTTGAAGAGCTGTATATACAAATACAATGTATATACAAGTATCCATAATCTTTGTATAGCACATGGCCGGTCATGGTAAATGCGCGTCAATTTCTCGGATTTGGTCCATAATCTTCTTGTACAACCAACGAAATAACTCATAGCCATTGAACGCGATGTAGGCTATGTACACAACTGGCTGAATGAAGCTAGGTACAAGAATAGACGTCAATGACGCCAGCAACAAAGAACCAAATAGGATCTTTCCATGACGTGCGATATTAACGTATACAGGATCATGATTTGTATACTTGTCTTCAGCATCGCATGATGCCCCGTACATAACCAAACTGGCTAATGCCAAGAACACACTTTTTGGGTGGGTCTGAAAAGGGGAATCAGGAACGAGCTGTAAGAAGTTGAGCAAAGACGATACCATGAACCCCAGAATGGTGGTGTTGCTGACCGGCAACAGTGGTTCTCGCGAAAGGTAGTCCTTGATATTCATTAAGAAGTCGTTGAATTTTATTGATACGCATGCATAAGCACGACGTATAAAAATGACCATTGGACGCATCCTGACGTCCCTCTGTTACTCTTGCTCTTGTTTTCGCTCTCTAGCTAGTTATGCGCTGCGTATTCTTTGGAGTGTATATGGCTTACACACATAACCGAAAAGAAGTGTATTTTCTTGTTAATGTCGAGCTATTCCTTTGAGAAGTTTGAAACACATACAAACGATTTTCTCCAAGCTCTACAATAAGGAAACTATCACCTCACTAGCTAGATGTACGGGAGCCTGATTTTTAGATATGGTGGTGACACCCTTCGTCGGAGTATCCTACTGGCGGTGGTGCGTTCACGTATGCCCCTCTTTTTGGTACAGAAAAACACGTAACTGCATATCCATCATATTGAAAACGAGTGAGCTCAAACTAACAGAAAAAACAAAAATGGTCATGTAATCAGCCATGGCTACATTGAAACTCACCAAGATCTCGTTTTGGTCCGACCGGTTCATGATCTGCAGCTGCTGCTTACGAATAATTAACAGATGGAGAGAAAAAGTTTGAAGATCGAGAATTGAGGTTTCATTGTGATACTTAATTTAACAAGATTTTGTGTGAGATTGATGAAACTGAGGTGTTAAATTTCTACGTATCTATAGGGGTCGATATTATGTCACACTGTCGGGTTGGAAGTCATTTCTTTCATCACAAGCTATCTCCTAAACTCACGCATGTTTTACGACTATATATGTCCCGGATCAGTTTTAGGCCTGCTATATGACGTAAGCATGCATGTTTTATATGACGTGTAGTACTGTCATCGTCGCATAAACATGTTTTATATTGACACCTAATACATCCATTTACAGTTTTCATACACCCATTTAAATTTTTTTGATCCATTTAAATTTTTTTGATCGACGACAAGTAACCTAGTTAATCACTTATAAGCCTAACTATAATTAATCAGTTACGGGCTAAGAGAAGTGGTAACATATCCTATTACTTTGTCATATCAGTTTTTTTGTTTTTTGAATGTCTTATTTTTTTCTATTTAGCATATAATCTTAGCATTTGGTAGTATGTGGTAACACTCGTTACACTCTATTTTTTTCTTTTTCTAATTTAATTAAATTATTTTATCTTAATACACAAACATCTTTTATGTACAAATATTAATCAAGTTACAGCCAAATTCAAGGATTTACAATTGATATTAGCTTTATTTCATTTAAATACATTAAACTAAGAAGAAAATTAATTAGAACCAATTTCATCAATCAAAAAGTTTTGAAACAAGACAACAATCTATCACACAAATATAATATAAAATTAATTAAAAGAAAAACGAGCTCTCAGATCTCATAGCTATTGATCATGCAAGGACTTACAATTGATATCGGTTATTCTTCCAGAGCCATTTACTTTACCATGATAAAAATACTTTTGCGTGATTTGTGTGATAGTGAAGAAAAATAATTTAAGAAACATGGCAAAGAACAACAATGGACGAAAGGATATACAAAAATACCTATTCAGTTATATGATTTTCCATCATTGGGCATTCTTTACATCATTATTATAACAAAGCACAACAAAAGCAGATTTTCTCAACATTTTTTTATCAATAGTAGACAAAGATAAAAAGAAAAAAAGGAGAATGAAACATGGATAATCAACTAGAGTGATGGTAAAAGTAGTGATGGTAAAAGTATATATACCCAATGAATTTCATAGTTTTTTGAATTAAAACTTGTGGGATTTATCATAGAAGGAAAAAATTTATATTGGGGAAGCATTCATCCCAACAGGCAATTGAAGAAAAAACTCCAAGCCAATACGTCAATTTTGCTACCCTTTTTTACTGAAGACGTTTTGTCCAACATATGAATAACACTTGTTATAGTTCATACCTTACCAACTGTCTTGATAATTGATTTTAAATTGCAAGTTTCAGAGATTTAATATCCAAAGCCTATATTGCATTGGAAACATATATGTCAAGGTAAACAAGAAAATTCAAAGCTTTGATATCATCGAACACAAACAACCAGTAATCATTATTGGAAAAAACAGGGTTTGTTGAATATAAAAAGAACAATTGGATCAATACATCAATTAATCAAACCCTACATAAAGGCGTGGTGCAAAAACAGTTTCAAATTCAAATTTGTTAATAATCAGAGCAAAGAGGAACAAACCACCATGGCTACAAACATCTCGGTTGCTTCAATGGTGAAAATTCAATCACAAGCCTCTAGAAATTACCTCCACCAATTATATAAAAACGTATATAGTTAAGAAATCATACAAGCTCTAAATTCGTTGCAAACTTCCTTTTAGTTCCAAATATACCAATACATTACAAATTTGGAAAATGTAGTTAAATACCACCATAAAATGTTTTTTTTCATTTGAGCATTTAATCAAACACCTTGTCTTCATGTTTGTTTGAATGATCTTAGCTACAAAAAACGCAACACTGTGAGAGTCTATAATCATAATTCTTCAACATTAACCTAACTATATAGATAAACCTAACATAAACGTGAAGGAAAATCAGTTTTGTTCACACGGTTCCTTTAGCTCTAGGCCCATGTATTGTTTAGTACAATTGAATTAAAATCATAAACAAGTGAATTAACAAACTAGCTATCAATTTTAAGGAGAAATTAAGCAGGGGCGGCTCAACCAGTTTTGTGGCTCTAAGCGAACTAAAAATTTGGGTCCCTTTAGCCTTTATTATAATTAATGTTATAAACCCTCCTCCTTTATCCGAGCTTGGGAAAATCAACATACCCAATAAATCATACCTAAAACATCAAAATTGGGACAACTATAGGAAATTAAGTGAAAAAAGTTGAGAACATACTGCAAGGAGTTTCTGCACAAGTGGAATGAGTTGATCAAGAAGATTCCATAGCAACAAGCTTTTGCCTACATCCCTTGTGAAATTCAAAAATTTGACTAATCAGCTTTTCTTTTCTATGACCACCAATATCTACTACTAATATTTGTGGAGGTTTGGATGGTTTTTTATTGTTAAAGTGTCAGATGGTTTCTCCTTTCTTGTTAATGCCACACTAAGGGCTATTACACAATCTGCACAAATATTAGTGTCAGATGGTTTCTCCTTTCTTGTCAATGCCACACTAAGGGCTATTACACAATCTGGTGCCATTAAAAGACGAGTAGGTAACACAAACCCACCCTACAAAGTACTACAAAACAAACATCAACCATAAAAATTGGATAATCCAACTAAATTTGAGAAAGTTGTAGTGAAAAATGCAAAAATGATTATATTTTGTACCTTCTACTGTTGATTAGAGACAATAGATGGATGGTGTATGTGCATAAATTCTATAAGAGTCAAGTATACCTTTCCTTTATCACTGTAAGAATATAAAGAAGAAGTAAACAACTTGTTCTTCCTTTATGATATATTGGTGTTGATAGAAAGGTCTTGTGACATTACTAGTTGTTGAAAAATTTCTCATAGTCACTTCATACTCCATGAGACGGTGTGCAAGGCTACACCAGCCTAAGGCAATATAATGGTTATCTTTTTTCACCACAATGTCAGAAAAGCTTTTTGCTAAAGCTTGAAAAAGAACTTTATCTTGAAAGAGCCAATTGAGAAGAATCAACTCCTGGTTCTTGTTTCTTGACTCCTTACTTCTTAATGAATGAGACCCCAAGCAATAAGAAGTTTAGTACATCTTTTTCCATGTAACATCAAAAATTTCAATTAATTCAGTTTGGTTTAATTCAAAATTAAAAGAGCAATAGCATTCAAACACTTGTATTTACATGTTCAATCCTGGGAATCAAAATTTCATCTAGAGACCCTTCATTTTCAGCTCCGACCCTAACATATTTGTGAAGAATCTGTAACGGGTTCTCCAACGAAACTACATAAAAGAATCATAGTATTCAAATCAGAACTTCAACGTTGCTTACAATAATCTTAGATGACTTCCTACTTATGTTAAAAAAATATTACAAAGAAAGAGGATAATAATCTGGTAATACAAGAAAGATAATAACCGACTCACAAGCGGATTACGAAGGTTGAACAGTCAATAATTGATCACAGGAAAAAGAATAAAATCGAGAATCGACTAATCAAGAATTGATCAATATTCAATCGAGATTGGTAATGGTTTCTGCTGAGAATCGAGAATCTGAGAATGAGAAGGAAGATCGGAAGAAGAACAATCGCTCACGGCTCACTTGACTAAAGGAAGAATCTGGTTTAAGTGGGGCCCAAGAATTAGGGGCCCTAAGCCCTTGCTTAGTTAATTTAAAGGTAAAACCGACCCTAAAATTAAGCCATTACAAAACCTAAAAACCTACTTTGAGGGCCTTAACCACCTTAAAACATAGTAAAATCACATAATAAAAACATAGTAATAGAGCATAAAAACTTACAAAAGAAAAGAAGAAATCATAGCAAGAAGAAGGAGAAATCAGTACCTCATGTTGATGAAATCGCAGAAGAAGATCCAAAAATCAAAATCAGTACCTCATGTCAGGGCCGACTCTACCCTTTGCAAAAATAAGCAAGGGCTTAGGGCCCCCAATTCTAAAGGGCCTCCAATTTTAAAGCTTATTCAGTTATATATGTATATATATATATATGTATTTCTTGGGCTACAGAGACAAGTTGAAGTTTGGCCTCGTGGTAAAAGCATTGGTTTATAAAACTGAAGGTTTCAAGTTCGAAAATGTTTGCTTACTTGAAGGGCCCCAATTTTTTTGTTTTCTTAGAGCCCCTAAATTCGTTGAGCCGCCTCTGCCTCATATAGATGAAATCGCAAGAGAAGAACCAAAAATCAAAGTCATTTGCACCAATGACATCATTCCAATCCTTTCTCGTTCTTCTCGTCATGGAGTTGACGAGCATCCTTTAGCGAGCCCCCTAGCGAGCGCTAGGGGGCGGTGTTCTCTTCCTCTTAGCGAGAGTAACGACCTAGTAGCGAGCCCCTACTCCGTTTAGCCTAAGTAGCTTTTCTAGAAAACAATGTAATTTCAGCCAATAAAAATATTTCAAAAA